GGAAAATTTTGCCTTCACTGGCTTAAAACTACCCTCTTGTCTGAAATAGTCCTCCAGGTCGTGTTGTTTCCTCGTTCCTGTATCCCACGTAATCCTCGCAAATTGAATGGCGTCTTTCAGTATCGCCTGCTCTTTTCCGAGTTCATCACTCTGACTGACTCGTCTTTAAGTATGCGTCTAAAAAATAAGGGGCAACAGTAGCTTATGTAGGCTCACTCATTAATAGAGAAGAAGAAGAAGACTCGATCGCTGGGCCGAGTCCCAGGAAGTAATTGAGAAGAAGACAACTCGATCGCTCGAACAATACATTTATTCGCCTGACGTTTCGACATCCGTCGCGGATTCATCATCAGAAACATGAGTAGCAGAAACTCACTCATTAATCCCTACTCCCTGCATGTTTTCCTACGAAAACGCTGGTTATAGGGTTTTATGGGTGGGGAACTAGGACACCCAGTGGAATATGTTTTAATAAATGGTAAACGCACTTTTATTTTATTGTATTTAGAAGTGGTGTTGATTTATATCTTTAGATTTTCCTAATCTGTATTATCGTTTAACTTATTGCGGTAAAACCCGATTATCAAATCTCAGGCTTCTTGAATTTCCCGAAAAATTGAAATGGTGGTTAGGAGGTCATCTACTTCAACTCTTACCTGTGGTCCAACTTACCGTTCTGGAGTTAGATTAGTATAGTCCGCGGAGCGAAGCACCTGACAACTTACCGTTCTGGAGTTAGATTAGTATAGTCCGCGGCGCGATGCGCCGCGCATACCTTCAATTTGCATGCGGAACAACTTACTCCCAGCGGCCGCGGAAAACAAATTCGACAACATTTTTTTCACTTTACACTTCTAAAAATTTCCTTCTCTGCCTTTCCTATTTCCCCAATCCCCAAAATTCTATTACCACCGTTTTTGCAGGAGAAAATGCTGGGACAAGGGGTATATGAGTGGGCCTACATAAGCTACTTTTGTCAAATAAGGTCTTAAATTCACCACCCAATTCCGCCCTTTTCCATCTGATGTGTTGCTGTTTTCCTAAACTGTTCTGCGGTTTGTTAAAAAGACCTTGCTAACTAATCGCACCAGAAAAGTCGCCCTCCCTTTCCCACACATACACACACACACCAGTGGACTGCCCGAGCACTGACTGGTAATGAGGTAGGAGGTGTACCACCTGGCGTGACGACAAAAGGCCACACGCACATAAGACAGTAGTCGAGACCCCAAAACAAACTTACCACAGTTCTGCCAACGCATGTTGTCAGCCCCTTGATGCCTTCGCATAACAAGGAAATTCTGGGCTAGTGGCTATAAACCAGTCCAATCGAACTTCTAAGCCAATGCCGAGCAGTTAAAACGTCGACGTCATCTTCTGACCCTGAGTATGCTGTCGGCAACTTGTGTACCCCTTTCCGTGTGTTTGTTCCCACACTTGCCAGGCACCTGTTCTACTTGCCTGTTTTTCACCTCTACATCACTAATTAGATTA